AAAAAAAAAAAAAAAAAAAAAAACAATAATAATAATAAATAAAACAATAATAATAACAATAATAAGAAAATAAACCCTAAACCCTAGTTCCGCATGAGACATGAGGGTGGGTTCGTCTGACGTGAGGCTCCCACCCCATACACACATTGGAGGATTGAAGAGACTAGTGCTGCCTGGTTTGCCTGCAGAGGCTTGACCCCAAACCCGAAACACTCACAATCCTAAAGCCTGAGCCCAAAAATCTAAGAATGATTCGACATACCCCCCAACCCATAACGTTAACATATAAATGGAAAACATAAGGAAGGAAAAATACCCCTTCATTTGATTTAACGGTATTTAAGGGTATGCCCAAGGGGTATGTTGAACATTTCTCAGATATAAACCATAAACTCTAAGCCCGACAATTTCCTAAAGACTGAGCCCAAAAAACCCTGAACCCTAAACCCTAAACCCTCAACAAGGTTTCAGCCCCTTGGCCTGACGAGCTTCAACCTGCCAAACGCGCTGAAAGAGGATCTTGATGTCCTGGTGCCAGGGTTTAGGGTTTAGGGTTAGGGTTTAGGGTTTAGGGTCTAGCGTCTAGGGTCTAAGGTCGAGAGTCTAGCGTCTAGGGTCTAGGGTTTAGGGTTTAGGGTCGAGAGTCTAGCGCCTAGGGTCTAGGGTCTAGGGTTTAGGGTTTAGGGTTTCCGGCCCAAGCCACGGACTTGGTCATTTCAGGCTATAAGCTGAACCTAGGCAAAACCCCGAACCTCTCAACCAGAAGCTCCCCCGCTCGTGAAACCCTCAGGCCTCTAGCTCCTCACTCGGAGGTTCCTGGTACTTATTAACCGATTATCACTTTGCTTATAACCCACTTATAAGCCCCTGAAGTGCCCTAATCGTGTTTTAACTTTAAGTACAGTTACAAGTACAGTTACCCTAAACCCTTGACCCTAAAACCCTAAACCCTAAACTTTGATTAGGTGAAAAAGTGTCATGAACCTCCAAGCAGCGGTTCGAATTTGAGGGGAGGGGTTTGTTGGGCTTAGTGGTGTGTTTTACCCTAAACTAAACCCTACTGTACACCCTAAACCTTAACCCTAAACCCAACACCCCAAACCCTCAAAATCTGAATCCTGGCTGCAGCTCTCCACATTGTCCGTCAGCGCTGGCACGGGCTCCGCATGCTCCGCCATTCGCGGACAGAGGTCTGCCCCTCTTAAAGGGACCACTGCGAATCTACTACGTGCTGCAAAGGGTTTAGGGTTTAGGTGTAGGTTGTAGGGTTTAGGGTTGAGTGTTCAGGGCTAGATAATCCCCATCTTACCCTTATAAGGAAGAATACTTTTTTTGAGGGGCGGGAGAAGGGGGGAGGAGGGGGGGGTCTTAAGCAAATGGGAGTTGAACTGACATGCGAACGTATCAAGACCGAGCCGCCAGGGCTGAAAGGGGCTTGGGGTTAAGGGCATTCGAGTAGAAGGGCACCACCAGGGCATGAGGGTTTCAGTACTCGGGTATTAAGGTAGCCTACGCCCTAGAACACCCGTTAAGAGCCCCGCGAAAACCGTATACTAAGCGCTATCAACCCTATCAGGATTTTGGGGGTTTCCGAAATTAGGGGTACCTTCTTGGGGTCCTTATGATAAGGGAATCCTACTATTTGGGGATCTATCTTGCGGGTCCCCTATTTTCGTACACCCCCATTTCTGTGTTTTCTTTGGTTGTATACACTCCGATCCTGATAAAAGCAAGGAGAGCTGTTGCTTCTGCCTTGTGGTTTCATGGGTTTCCTGCTACCCCCCTCTATTCCTTCGTTCGGCTTGATTACCCCCAAGTAGCCTTAATTATGGGGGGAACCTAGGGGGGTAGTATAGAGGGGGGTAGTAATGGAACCCATGGTTGTGCTTAGGTTTTTAAGGTTTTAGGGTTTAGGGCTTGGGGTTTTAGGGTTTTGGGGGGCATTTCGGGGGAGTAGAGGTTCAGGGCTTGAGTTTTCGGGGTTGAGCTCTTATAGGGTTGAGGGTTGAGGGGAGTACTGCATGTAAAGAACATATAGGGAACTGGATATGCAAATCGCACATTGACTAGAAACCCTAGGCACCCCACATAAGACCCAAGAAAGCCCGAAACTCATCTAGGGCTTCAACCACACCAAATTCTGAAGGCTCGGGTTATTCAAGTTTCGAGCTGCGACAGCAGGTATGGCAGTGCTGTACAGTGTGAGACGATTGGAAAAGTTGCGACAGGCCAATAAACCCTAAACCCAAACTCCCTAAACCCTAGACCCAAGGGCTTAACATAGCCCCAAGGGGCTAAGTGCTGAAACCGCAAACCCTAAACCCTATATTATAAACCCTAAACCCTAAACCCTAAACCCCCTATGTAAAGCAAAGGGGCCTCCTGAAAATTGGGGAGTGAAAAAAAACGAGTTCTCAGGGGGGACCTCGGGAATTCGGTACCTCATCTTCCCCCTCAGAGAACCATGCAAGGTTCTGCATGGGGGTCCCTCGGCCATTTCTTGCCTTTCTACAAGCTTGGTAGCCCAGTCACCACCTCATGATGAGGTTTAGGGTTTAGGGTTTAGGGTTTAGGGTTTAGGGTTTAGGGTTTAGGGTTTAGGGTTTAGGGTTTAGGGTTTAGGGTTTAGGGTTTAGGGTGGGAACCTTGAACCAAAAAAAAGGGACAAGGGTCCCACTGGGCTACCAAGAAGGTGAAGAATTCTTCACACCCCCTAAAGTTGCCCTCAAACCCTAAACCCCTAAACCCCTAACCCCTAAACCCTAAACCCTAAACCCTACGTTCACACGGGAACCTGCACCCAGTCGCGTGCCAGCAATGACACTCGCTGGCAAGCAAGGAGCCTTCCTTCCAAGGCTTCCGCCAGGAACTCGGGCGCGGACCTGAAATCGCTAGGCCCTAGGAATGAAAAGGGTTTAGGGTTTAGGGTTCAGGGTTCAGGGTTTAGGGATACTTCGCTAGGCCCAGGACTACTATTTGCTTAAGAACTCCTCAAAAATCCTCAAAAGTAAAACACAGAGATTCTTCCTTGTGAGGGTAGCATAGGGCTTATGGTCTCTTATTTTTGAGCATAAAAAAAGTACCCTTTTTTGGGCTTAAAGGGACTTAGAAGGGAACCTAAAGGCCCAACAAAAAGGGCTCTGGGTCCTCGTTCTCCGATGAGCAAGGAATCAGAAGGCTAAACTCTGCTCCTCTACTGTTCCTACATAGGAAAAACCCCAAAAAGTGTGAAACGCGAACTAAACCCTAAACCCTAATCCCTAAGCCCCAAACACTCCTGGCAAAGTAGGTGACTGCTTGGGGATGAGGTCTGCTGCACTGAAGCCCCGAGAGTTTCGCAGATCGAGGCGTGCTCCGGCAGCGATCAGGGCTGCAGCAAACTCATAGTTTCCTGTCACCTAGGTTGCCCAGTTTAGGGTTTAGGGTTTAGGGTTTAGGGCTGAGGGCTTAGGGTTTTGTTTGTCATAAGGGGTTATAAGGGAACCTCCGTCCCTCAAAAAGGGAATAAGGGTACTACTGAGCATCCCAGCCACCAAGGCCATTGTCAATGGGGTTCCGCCTTTGGCATGGTAGAGAAACTTGCTGAGAGGCGTGACCTTGTGAAACTTGTGCTGCCACACCTTCAGCGTATACAGGGCTCGCATTATCCATGTCCGCTTGGCCTGGGATCGACTTGAGGGAACAGTGAAATCGAAAGCAAATAAGGGCTATATAGGTCACACAGGGTTTTTTGGGGCCTTTCGACCTAAACCCTAAACCCTAAACCCTCAACCCTAAACCCTACACCCTAAAAAAAGTGATTCCACATCACCTTCATGCGGCAGGTTCGTCCGCAGTCTGAGCATTGACGTCGCCCCTCATGGCCACCAAGCGGGTGACCACTTCGCTGCTTCCCCAGGCCTGGCGTGGATTAGGGTTTAGGGTTTAGGGTTTAGGGTTTAGGGTTTAGGGTTTAGGGTTTAGGGTTTAGGGTGTAGGGTATTTTGTGCTGCGGGCGGTTTAGGGCTTGGGGTTTGCGATGTGTAGAGGGGATGAGGTAGCTCCACTGGCCAACTCAACCTTACTCCTCTTGGCAGCCGAGTAACCATACCATAATAAGGGTGCCCTTTCGGGGGGGGGGTTGGCTTCTTTGTGCGGGAAACTTGAACCCAGAAAACAAGGCAAGAGGGTACCACTGGGCTACCAAGAGTGGCATAACTACACGCCCTAAACCCTAAACCCTAAACCCTAAACCCTAAACCCTGAACCCTGAACCCTAAACCCTAAACCCTAAACCCTAAACCCTAACCCTAACCCCCAAAAAGCGCATTCCAATCTCAACCTCAGAGTGGCAACGGCCGCGAGGTGAAGAGCTGGAGTTGGATCGAAGGTCTCCTAAACCCTAAACCCTAAACCCTAAACCCTAAACCCTAAACCCTAAACCCTAAACCCTAAACCCTAAACTCTCCTCTGCAGCCCGGGCATGTCGAATCAGCGCCTCCATAGCCTCAAGGCCTGTGCCGAAGCTGGCGGCCTCACTCATCTCCAAAGGGGGCTTGGGGGGTTTAGGGTTTAGGGTTTAGGGTTTAGGGTTTAGGGTTTAGGGTTTAGGGTTTAGGGTTTAGGGTTTAGGGCTAGGGTTTAGGGTTTGGGATTCAGGGTTTAGGGTTTAGGGGTTTATGATGCGATATTACCCTGAACCCCCAAGGATGTACCCTTGGGACCCTTTTTGAAGATCCTCTGAGGGAATCTAAGGGGCATATTCGGAGTTTGTTCAGGGAACCTGAAAGGGGTACATCCCTTAGAAGTCCGAGTATGAGGCTCTTGATCCAAAGGGGTATGGTTTTTTTTTAGGACTTAGGTTTAGGGCTTGCTTTTCGGTTTGAGGGTTCAAAAAAGTCTACTTGCCAAGGAATCGGCTGTTTCGATGACGCTGTGGCCCAAGGCATTCCGCTGAACGGCGCTGCACCCAGCATTGCAGAGAAGCCCCACAGCCTCGGCGTTGTTCACCGCCGCGGCACCTGGCTGCAAATTCGGGAGAGCCGTAAGAATGAAACTTCAGTGGCCACTTATAGGTGCTACTGGTATAGGGTTCTGCATACGGGTATGGGGGCCCAGAGGGCTGCAAGGCTTGATTCCAGGGCACTGTTCAGAGGCTTATGAAACGGGTTGTCGCTGAAGAAGCTGGCCCTGGCTTGGAGTAACAGCCGCACCACCTCATTGTTCTTGAAGAGGCAGGCAATGGAAACCGGTGGCGTGCCAGCCTCAAATCCAAGGTCTGCATGGGCTTTCCTTGTGCATTGCTTGGGGTCTGCTCGCAGCTCGAGCAAGTCCCGAACCAGTGAGGGATCCCCATTCAAGGCAGCGTAGTGAATCGGCAACCATCCAGAGCTATCACTCTCCGAGATGCGAGAGAAGCCGTTCTGGTGAAAGAACTTCATCACAAGAAACGATGGTCGTGATGAGTCCCATTGGTCACTCAGGTCTTGCTCAAACCCATCAAAGTCTGGGAGTAGCTGGATGGGCTCGCACCCGAGTCCCTTGAGCATCTCAGTTTGCTGATTCAGCAAAGCGCGATACCCTGAAAAATCTCTGACTGCCAGGAGCCTCAGCAACTTGCGCTTCAGCACCATCAGCAGAACTGGGCCAAGTGTCAAGCAATCCGCCTGCACCGTGAATTCACCCTCGCCCACGGGCCCGGAGCCTGCGCGAGAGGATGCCAACGCATCCGTTACCAGACACAAGTCTCCGGTGCCTTGGCGGCTCAGTGGCAGCCCTCTTCCAAAAAAGGGTACCCGTTCATTTTGGTGTGAGCTACTGTGAAGCGAACCCCAAAACCCAAAGGGACAGAAGGGCAATATGGGGTTAGAATAGGGTTTTGGGGGGGTTAGTAGAGTACATTACAAACAGACCCCAAGGGAACATTGTTAGTAATTCTTCCGACCCCCAAAAATCTCAGGGCCACCAAGGAGCTTTTCACCATGATCCAGGAGGGATCGGCGGAGAGTTCTCGGACCGTTCTCTCGAGTCGGCACCACCCGCGCCCCTGAAAAGTCATGTTGATACTGATGTCGATATGGTCAGTTCTCTAAGTTATGGTCCCTTTTCGGGTACCCCAAAATAGTAGGGGCCGCCTCATAGCAAGGAGCTTAAAAGGGACCATCATTTCGAGAAATCACCATATGTTGATACATTGAGACTGATTTTGATGTTGATGACACGTCCATCTGCTCTGCAAAGGGTAGCTAAGACACAAGTCATCTTCACATGGACATTGATACTGAGTACATGGAGCGCCTGCCAAGTCAAGGGCGAAATCAAATTTGTCTTGAGGGGGTTCTCCAAGACCGGCACGAGCGCAAAGAAGAAGGAGACCTCGTCCACACAAAAGAAGGGGCCTTAACAGTTAGAATAGGGTTTTGGGGGATTATTGCAACATACTTATAAAGAGGCTATAGGGGAGTACTTTTAGTAGTTAGAAGGAGACCTCGTCCACATAGGCCGGTATGCTGTTGATGGCATCCAGCTGCGTTCTCTTCGGCTTCTCCTCCCTCTGCGGGATTGCGAAGTAGTCATACCAGCAGAATAGTGGTTCTGACCTTAGTTGCTGAGTTCATAAGCCCCCCCCAAAAAGTGTACACTTTCAGTTCTTTAGAGGATTCTCGTATCCAAAAAAAATGGTGTAAAGTGTACTCATCTCAGCTACTAAGTGACAGAAGCCTGGCTGCAGGCAAGGGCTTCAAGTTTGGATGATTGATCTCAGTGACCATATCCGGAGGAATGCTTCGTGAGTTCGACATCAGGTCCGACAGGGCGTTCTGCAAGACCCGCATCTGCTTGGCCTCTGGGTCTGGGTGGCCAGGGGAAACCCACTGGTGCGAGATAAATGCTGCCTTGCCCATCTTTCGGTCGAACTCTACCAGCGCACCGGTAGCCTTGAGAACTTCGTGGGGCTCAATCTTGGTCATCTCCAGCAACGTGCCGAGAGGTACCGTGTACATCGGGAAGTGCATGGGCGGTTGCTCATCTGTGGCAAGCTGATCCCGCACCGTTTTGGCATACTGGGCCAAGGGAGTCAACGAGGCTCTGCAGCATGTCATCGCTTGAATACTAAGAAAGCCAGGTCAAAGGACCCAGAGCCGACTGAACGCCTCGATCTCCCTGAGCCGAAAACTTCCGAAACCAGATCCGAATCCCCCCGGGCCGAGGCGCCAAGATACACAGATGCTTCCCCCTTTCCAGATTCCGGCATAGATACCTACACATGTATATGTATGGTGAATATTTTAGCTATAGCTCTCTCTCTCTCTCTCTGTACGAGAAGCGATACCACTCGTAATCGGTAGTAGACATCTGGGGCCGCAAGGGGCATCCTTGAATGAGGGAATGAGGTACCCCATATCCTCTCTCTCACATATATATATATATACATACCCTTTAAGGGATTATATAGGGTACCTCATTCCCTCCTTCCCTACTCACCAACAGTGAGTAAGTCTTCTGCACCTCCTTCTTATTGGACCGTGCCCCTTCGCCGATCTCCTGTGTCTTGGCGGCCTCAAGAGCACAGGAGCCATGTCCTCTAGAACTCTAGGTGTCCCCTAAACCCTAAACCCTAAACCCTGAACCCTGAACCCTGAACCCTAAACCCTGTCGACGTCTCTCAGGTCCAGGGGTAAGGGTTTAGGGCGAGTTAAGGGTTTCGGGGTTGAGGGCTATTAAAGACGACTAAGTCTGACTAAATGCAACTGTGGCATCTATTCTGACAGACGTCTACAGACGTGTGCAAACAAGCTTACCCCCAAACCTACCCCGAGACCGACTTGGGATGCTCATAAGCTTGAGGACTTAGGGTATGTATCTCGGAAGACCGCGCGCTGATCCAGCGAGCGCCAGCTACTATAGAAAAGCAGCTGGAACAGGTGTTTAAAGTTTAGGGTTGAGGATTCAAGGCTGCCCAACATGGAGGTGCTCTTTCTGATGGGGTTTCCTCTCATCACGGCCAGAGTATTCTGTGGACTATCAGGGTTGCCCAATTTTGAGAGTATGCCCCGGCTGAAGACATGTTGCCGAATGGTAAAAGCTAAGCTTCGATTTTCCTCGATGCCGACCCCCCCCCCCCTGCCCCAATTAAGACCCTTGCCCTAAACCCTAAACCCTAAACCCTAAGGCCTGAGCCCTAAACCCTAAACCCTAAACCCTCAGCCCTTGCAATCCGTGGGTTATTCGGGTAAAATAACCAGGGCTCTTGTAGGGGGTATTGGTAAAAGGATTCTAAGGGTTCAGCGTGAAGGCCGATAGCTAGTCCGGGAGCACAGAAACTTATTGCCATAGGGCCACAGGGTTTAGGGTAAAAACCCTACCAAACCCTGCAAAACCCTAAAAACCCTAAAAGCCTCTAAACCCCTCCCCCCCTCCAAGAAAACAACCCAAAAGCCCAAACACCCTGCCCTAAAAGCCCTCAAAACCCTAGAGGACCCTAAAAGTACTACCCTAAAGGACCCCAACAGCCCAAAAAACCCTAAACACCCCCAAGAAGCCCCTCAAAACCCTAACCCCCCCCCCCCCCCCGAAAGCCCCAAAAAACCCCAACAAAACCCTCCAAACCCAGTGTTTGCTGCAGCCTCCAGCAATGCCTTCTTCTTTGCCTGCAAAGTTTAAGGGGTTTAGGGGGTAGGGTTTAGGTTTTTTTTGTAGCGGCAGTGCTGACAGTGTGAGTTCACTCGCCCTCTTCGTCATCCTGGTTGGTCAAATCCTTCTTACCACCCATCTCAGGTGGCAAATCAAGTACCTAATCCACCTCATCCAGTGAAGCAGTGATGCCAGGCGTTGTGCCAACGGGCCGAGCTGTCCAGCTGGCTTCGGTATCTTCGGAATCGTTGCCTCGCTTGCGTCCGCATCCGAATCACCGCTGGCGGATTGTTGAGTGTCGTAACGTAGTATGGGTGCTGCTTCGTTTGGGAGGAATAACCAAATAAGAACAGGAGCCCTTCCGGAGAACGAGTGGCAACACTCAACAAACGGGCATCATTGAGCCGCACCCCTCATATACGTTTAGGGTTTAGGGTGTAGGGTTTTGGGTTTTGGGTTTTGGGTTTAAGGTTTAGGGTTTTCACTGGTTACATGGGGTCTAAGGCTATTCGGGTCTAGGGCTTGGGGTTGGGATGGATTGAAGGTTTGGGGTCATTGGGGCCCTAGGTTGGTTAGCTTTCTGGATGTAACCCCTCTAAAGAAGAAAGGGCCGCAGAACCCTAAGCCCACACAACCTCATGGTAGGAAAACCAGAGACCACTCGAAGTTAGGTGCTTTAGGGGCTGCTTTGCGGTTCAAGGCTTTCGGGGTTTGGGTTTTAGGGAACCTCACACCGCAAACCCGAAACCCTAAAACCCTCAATGGGTTTAGGGTTTAGTCTACACCCTAGAATCCCAAAACCATGAAAACGGGACCTAACCCTAAATCCTAAACATCCTAAACCATCTCATATCAAGGCGCAGGGGCCTTCATGTCCTTTCAAGGTGTGAGGCTCGGTGTACACGAGGCGCTAGGAGAGCGAGGCCCTTTAGGGTTTAGTGTTTTTCGGGTTCGGGTGTTTAGGGTTCAGGACTTCAAGTGTTTAGGGTTTGGGCTGTAGGATTCCGAATTTCGGTTTCTCCTATACACGCCCAAGTCCCCTCTACCCTTGCTCTGCCCTCCACTATGGCGCTCTCCAACTTCAAGCCTCAAAGTCCAAACCCAACACAAGTCAACTAGCATACAGCGCCAGGAACGGGGAGCCCCGACTAGTCTTAGATGAGGGCTTAGGGAACATGCAGCTTTACAGCCCTAAAGCCCACAACCACACCCCTATAACTTTCCAAGCACTCACACACGTACTTTTTCGAAAAACAAAGGGTTCAGGGGTTAGGGTTTAGGGTTTGGGATCATCTTTACCAAGAAGCCCTCACCTGGATGAGCGCGTTCAGGTCGTCGGACGGCGCGTCCTGAACCCTAAACCCTAAACCCTAAAACCCTAAACCCTAAACCCTAAACCCCCATGGGGTTTCGCTTTCGTTTGCCGGGGGGGGGGGGAGGAGGCCTATGGCCTGGGCCTCGATGTAGGGGGCTGAATAATTAGAATCGGGTTTCCGGGGTCATTCGAGTATAAGTATACAGGGACCCGTAAACCCTAAACCCTAAACCCTAATGCTTCCGACCCCTATATTAGACCCTGAACCCTCAACTGGAGGTCTATTCAGGGCTTCTTGTCGTGGGATGCCACAATAGACCCTTGATTCGATCCTTGCCAGCGCATGAAGAACCAGGAAAACTCCTCCCTATATATATATATATATATATATAATATATATATATATGTACATATATATATAATATAATATAATATAATATATATATATATACATATATATATATATAGAGATGCACTGCAGAGAACCATGCTTTGCTCTTCGGCTCTCGTGGCCGAAGCCCCCAGAAACGCAAAAGCCGCTAAAACCCCTCTCTGTCTCAATCCCTCTCCCTTTCCTTGCTTCGCGAGTTGAAGAGGGTTTAGGGTTTAGGGTTTAGGGTTTAGGGTTTAGGGTTTAGGGTTTAGGGTTTAGGGTTTAGGGTTTAGGGTTTAGGGTATCTCTGCCTTGGCGGAGGGCTAAACGGTAAAGCCTAAAGAAACAAAAACCCTAAAACCACCTGAAACCCCAAGCCCTAAAACCCTAAACCCTAAAACCCTAAACCCTAAAACCCTCAAAACCCCTAAACCCTAAAAACGCTAAACCCTAAACCTCAAACGGTCGCCCACGCCGCAAGGCCTTCGTGGGCTCGGCTTCTTCTGCTGGCCCTGGGTTTAGGGTTTAGGGTTTAGGGTTTAGGGTTTAGGGCTTATGGGTGTGAGAGGCAGCTGGCACCCTGAGCCTTCTCAACCGGTTAAGGGTTGAGGGCTTAGGGTTTAGGATTTTAAAGTTTAGGGTTTAGGGTTTTAAAGTTTAGGGTTTAGGGTTTAGTGATTGACAGTTCAGGGTTTAGGGTTTAGGGTTCTAACGTTTATGGATTTATATTCCTTGTATCCCCAAGAGGACACCAATTACATACACTCACCAATAATAAAAAGGAACCTTACATGCAGTCACCAAAAACAGCTAATATAAACCCTGTTTCCTATAAGGAGGGACGAGCCTTAATCTTATTCCCCTCGAGTGACGCCCAGATATACCTTTTATTGTCCCAATATACTCAAGCCCCTAACCCTAAACCCTAAACCCTAAACCCTAAACCCTAAACCCTAAACCCTAAACCCTAAACCCTAAACCCTAAACCCTAAACCCTAAACCCTAAACCCTAAACCCTAAACCCTAAACCCTAAACATTACTGTTAGGTCCCTCCTGAGGATCGTTCCCTTCAGTCCCTTGATCAATGCCTTTAAATGCCCAACGCCCTAAGCCCTAAGCCCAATGGGGGCTGGTTTAGGGATTAGGGTTTAGGGTGGGATTAGGGTTGAGGGTTTAGGGTCTAGGGCATTTGGGGTTGTATAAAAACCCCGTTATAAATCTATTCATCCGTTCTAGGGTTATCGTTTTTTTTCTTGATTATCGTTTTACAGGGTTTTGTGGAACAACCTACAATTTCATGGATTGTAGTACAAGCTTAGTACTGGAACCGCCGCCCCCGTGAGCCGGCGGGATTTTCATTGATTTGTAGTACAAGCTTAGTACTGGAACCGCCGTCCCCGTGAGCCGGCGGGATTTTCATTGATTTGTAGTACAAGCTTAGTACGGGAACCGCCGTCCCCGTGAGCCGGCGGGATTTTCATTGATTTGTAGTACAAGCTTAGTACTGGAACCGCCGTCCCCGTGAGCCGGCGGGATTTTCATTGATTTGTAGTACAAGCTTAGTACTGGAACCGCCGTCCCCGTGAGCCGTCGGGATTTTCATTGATTTGTAGTACAAGCTTAGTACTGGAACCGCCGTCCCCGTGAGCCGGCGGGATTTTCATTGATTTGTAGTACAAGCTTAGTACTGGAACCGCCGTCCGCGTGAGCCGTCGGGATTTTCGTTGATTTGTAGTACAAGCTTAGTACTGGAACCGCCGTCCTGTGAGCCGGCTGGATT